TAAAACCATGTAGCTGTTAGTGTCTTCTAAATCCGATGGAAACATGTGGATGAGCAGGGGAGGGAGGGACAGGCAGTGTGAAACATCTTGTTAGTCCCTTCTGAAGGAAAGGACGCAGCATGACATTATACCATATTAAACACTAGGGAATGAGAGAGAAAGATTATGAATGCCCCAGCTGAATGGAAAATTGCAATTGGAGCCTTCTTCTTAAAGGCATTGGGGAATCCCATGCAAAGCAACAGAAAACAATGTGTCATTTCTTCTCTGCTCATGGAGCATCATCTCTTACACTGTGGTTGAAAGATAAAAATGTCATTGGAAATTTCACAGTGAACAGCACCAGGCCAAGAGCACAGGAGGATAAATGCAATTGCCTTGGTCAGCTCTTCTGGTAAACACCTCAGCTGGGTTTTGCTGGAGTACCTCCACTGGGTCTGCTGTGCTGTTTTACACCTGCAGGAAATCTGACCCATCACATTTTGTGCTGAGGGAAGTCTTTAGTTCTTCTTTCACTAATAAAAGTGCAAAACATCAGCCAAATCACCTGTTATACAAGGCTACACTTGTTCTTTTAGAAACATTTCACTAGAGCTAAATCCAGTCAATGTCCCTGTTGCTCTGGACCTTTTCAGAGCTGGGAGGAGCCTCCCGGGGTTCCTGGGCTGGAGGGATGATGCAACATGAATCTTAAGAGTATCCAGCTTTTTTTCTTGGGCCTGTCCAAATACCCATAGTCCATCCATACCCAAGCCTTCAGTGTTTCCAGAGGTGGCCTGCATTTCAGCAACAGGACTTGTGGAAAGGGATGTCCTTCCTCAGGAAGGGAGTTCTGCACAACACTGCCTGCCCTTGCTCCCCAAGAATGGCTCTTGGGAAAATGTGACCCTTTCTGTGGCCAGGGTGTGCAGCCAAATCAACTGCAAAATATGGGTCCAGACTTTGGCCAGTGTCACTTAAGGGTAGTCAGAGTAGACCTTTATTATGCCTCACGGGCTGCAGGCAAATAGCAGAATTCAAAGGCAGGACCACTTGCTGCAAAGCCTGTGACTTACCTTCATACACACGGAGCAGAAGACATGGACAGAAACTCCATGTAAGAATGGGAATCAAGTAAGAAAACCAATTTTGTTTCACGAGAATTCAGAGCAGGTTTTTATCTGGTGTAGAGGCCAGAACAGTGCGATATCTTTAAAATCTTTACTAATAACACTAACTTTAGAGAATCTCTGGGCACAGGGATTTTATCCAATTTAAATGTAGCTCTCCTGTGTTTCTTTTGCTGTGAACTTGCACAGATGAAAGGAGGAATAACTCTCTCGCAGATAAGCAGTTCCACGTACCAGAGATTAGCAGAGGCACCGGCGAGGCACAGGGCTCCTGCCGGGTGCTGACAATCCCGCGGCGCTGAGCAGAGCCTGCATTCAAATTACTCTGAGGAGAGCCGGGTCTTCTGCAGGAGCAGCACAAGGAATGCGTCAGGGACCAGGCAAAGGGGTGCTCATTACTCACAGCTCACCAAGTGCAGGGGTACCCACCTGTTATCTGCCCAACAGACTGCTGTGCGCTTCCTTTCCTCATGTCCTGGTGCGCGTGTGCCTTGCTGTGTGCATCTGTGTATCTGTTTCAGGGCTGACATGTTCATCTAAAGGTACATATTTAAATAATATAAATAATTGACATGTGATAAGGAAATGTGCTTTATCAAATGAAGTGAGACCAGGCAAGGCCCAGCTTCAATTCATATTCATATGCTGTGCATTTCCTCCCTGTTTAATCTGTGTTTTAAAGGAACCTGTCCCTACTGGGAATTCCACTGCCAGCCCTCACTGGCCTCATTTTGTGCATAGGATGCCTTCAAAACTAATCCGTCCTCAAAGCCAGAGGCTCATGTCAGCTTCATTTTGAGAGTGAGCATTTAATTTCTGCTTGCTCCTGTCCTTTAGAAAAAAACCCAACATTTAAGATAATAAAGGGGAAAGAGCAAGGAGGGAGTAGAGAAACAAGAACCTGACTCTCCATCAATCCATCCATCACAGCTAAAGGCAGCATTTTATTATGAAGATGGATTTCTCCTTGCCCTCTCTGCATCTTGCATTGACATTAGGAGTCTGTGTAAGGCTCTTGAAGCCTGTTTCTCCTGGGTTTAAATTCAATGCCCCTGCACTTCATTCTCTTGCCTTTAAAAGTCTATTCTCCTCACTGCTTATTTTGTACTGGCAGCATAAAGTTCTGAATGACCAAACAGGAACTTCAGTCTGTAGTACCCGGTGATCCTGGTGACAAGCACGGGCTGAGCAGTACAAATCTTCCCTAAATCCAGCTCGCCTTTGATCCATCCGTGTGTGTACCCTTTTCAGCCTCTGTGCCTCAAAACGTTTGCAGCGTTCCTTCTTTGTTTTTGGGAATCTGTGGAGCGTTGCTTTTATTAATTGTGTGCCACAGCCTGTGAACAAATTAGCATGTGTGCACAAAGGTGCTTTCCTGGCCACCCTATCCATGCAGCTATGCTTAATTGGTGTGAGCATGGCAAGGGAGAAGCCATCAGGCAGGCAGGCACTGCATTTGGCATCACTCTTTCTTCCCCTCTCACTCAGGAATTCATCTACATTAGATTTGGAGTCTCCAGGCATCCTGTTTAATTTATGCTGCAACTTTCTTATCAGCCCCTAAATGCAATTGGAAAGAAAAAATCCATGCAGAGGATCTTTAGGAGAGGACGAGGGAAGCTGCCGATGGTGATTATGCAGTGAGACAATCAGCATGAGGAGCAGCTACTGCCTCTGAACAAACAAGTTATCGGTAAAAAATGGCAGTTTTGATCAATCTGTGTTTTCATTTGCTCCATGCGAGGCTGTAACCCTTTAACTTCAAGTCCAGCCATTAAACTCAGGCTGCTCTTCCCTAGAAAAGAACTTCCATGGAAAAATATTTTCTTCCTCTCCGTATCCCTGTTTCAGGCATTTAGGATTAGCACAGCATCACCAAGCTTATGCCTGGTGTTTCTTCACCTGGGCTTTTGTCTTTGGCCTGTACTGCTTTCCTGTGCTTTGTCCTGTTTTCACTCACACACAGACCATGAAGAACTTGCATGTCTTCAGTGTTTTTTGTGGGGGGCAATGAATGCACTGCTGGCTGGAGAATATGCCCTGAGGAAACTGGCTGGAGCAGGACCAGAGCTCTTCAAAACAGGGTGAGGGAGCATTTTTGTGCACTTCGCCTCGGGCATTTGCAAAGCTGCAATCTGGAGGGAGAGCTGCTGCCACTGTGCTGGGAATGTCGCCCTGGCCTCTGCCTCCTGTGGGGGTCCGGGGAGAGAAGTCTGCAGCCATCCCTCAGCCAGGGCATCCCCCAGCACGTCCACAGCTGGAAATCCTGCTGCAGCTGGTGGCCCTGTCACCCAGCCCCTTGCAGGGGCAGCTGGTGGTGGCACAGCACCATCCTTTCCCAGCAGCACTGCTTGACAGTCAATGGCTCAGCAGCACTCCGTGATGGCCTGTAGGGCTGCAGGAGAAAGGAGAAATTAGCATGCATGTCCGTGTGCCACTTGGGCCCACAGCATCCAGGTCTCATAACTCTCCGTTTACTCTGTGCTGTCCTGATGCCTCTATTGTTTCTCATCAGCTCTCATTATGTTGATTTAACATCTTCTGCCTTCCTGGGGCAGAAAGAGCACTTGTTCTTCCCCTGCATCTTCAAGACAACGCTATGCAGCTACGAAGAGTCCTTGAGAGTGCATTAGTGGTGGCTCTGACCCAGAGACATCTCTTATGCTCCAGACATAAGATTGAATTCCCTAGTCCTACAGACCATAATGAAAAAATGAATGGAAGACCAGGGTCATTACCTGAGTAAAGCAGAGCTGTCATGCTCTCTGAAGAAGCACTGATTCCTCTCCCCCTTGGCATTCCCACTCAGGTATGTCAACAGCAGGTAGGATTGCTGGTTTTGGTACTGTCAGAACAGGGCCAGTTACCTGTTTGGACCAGAAGTAAAGGAGCAGGATCTCCACAGGGCACAGAATCCTAGGAGGTGCAAGGTTTGGCTTCTGCATACTGCCTGCTTTTCTACAGCTTCATGTGTGCAAGGTGGGGTGTACTGCCCTGGCACTCAGGGGAGAGACAAGCTGAGGCACATTATAGTGTGCCTCAAGACAAGGTGCAGGAGCAGCAGGTGCTGAAATGCTCCAAACATGCACCTCAAGGCCATTACTGTAATGAAGGATTCATTCAACACAAAGCTTTGGCTCACTTGAAGTGAAGGACTTGCTGCGAAACACTGTCCCCAAAGTCAAAGATATTGCTGGACTCAACACCTCCTGTAGAGTAGTTCATAAGGTAACAACAAGCTTACTTGAAATGTGGCCTGAAGCTTCCTTGGAACCTAGCTGCAGGCTGAGAAGTCTGCTTTGCCTACCAACACCCTGGGCCAGTGCAGATTGCAGCCTGCCTCCACACGAGCTTACTTGCTTGTAGGGCAGCCCCAGGCTCCCTGCAAACCCAGCACCCCTGTGAAACATTCATCAGCCCTAGAAAGCCTGCAGCTGAGCCCAAGCTTAGCTTTGTGTCTTGCAGAAACTGAAAAGCCCAATAGACTTCCCTTGATTTCACAACACCTCCTGTTCTTGGTCTTTGCCTCTCATATGCAATGTCACTGCTGTTTATTTTCTTCAAGGGATGAGTCAGACTGGCAGCACCATCTTGTCCTGCCGTTTCTGAACCCCAAAGTCTTCAGTAGTTTTTTTACAGAGATGATTCCAGCTCCTTTGGTTTGTGGTTTTGTGCATCAGCTTCCCCTTCCACCTCCTGATTCTGGGCAGCCTTAGGCAGGAGGGACAATTTTGTGTGGTACTGGGAAGCTGATGGGGAACCCAGTGTAGGAAATGGAAGCTGGCTGTTTCTGTAAGTGCTGGGCAGCTGGGCATTCTGGCCTCAGATGAAGGCCACCTTGGTTCCTTGCCAGCAGCTCTGCCTCCTCCCTCCCCTTGCTGGAGGGGAGGCAGGTAAGTTGTGATCTTAAGGAGTTGGCATGGGCACAGATCCAGGGGAGACCAAAGGCAAGCAGATGATGATGGGAGGTGTCATGAGAGTAGGTCAAAGACAGGAGAAAAGAGAAAAGAGTGAGGAAATTTTAGAATAACCGTTCTGCTGCAGTTTCCAGGGAAGACAGCCGTATTTTCAGCAATGAAAAGGTTAATTAATTCTCTTGACAACTTCTCCCCCTCCTTACAGAAGTCTATCTCAGAAATAATCAAAGTATTAAATGAATATTGCACTAGTCCAAATAAGTACAATCATCTTCCAGGAGTATTTACATGTTGGGCTATAATTAGCAGCCTCCTTGGCACCAGCCCACATGAGTTGACAGGTCACCGTTTCCATTACATACTACATTTTTCCGTATCATTGCTCAGTCTTGAGTGATTATGAAATGAATGATTTCATGAGTTAACCAGACTCAGCAAAGATGAGGGATTGAGTGAGACATGGTGGAGACCAGAAGAGGAGCAAGTGATTTTTCTCACCAGGAACTTCCTGAGAATCATCAACACCTCAGTTAAGTGACTACCTCCGAAACTGTGCTTTTTTAAAGTATGGTTTTCAAGTAGTCTGAGAAGTGGAATTTCAAGATTTTTGTGATTCCTAGTGATGATGAAACATTTCTTCCCTAACTAAGCTTCTTCCTCCTATTGAGGTAGAGGGCAGGGCTATGTCCAAACTAGTAGAAGATATCTCACGTGGTACTTAAAAACTCAAAGATGTTCTTGAATGCCTTTTCTTCCTAGACCTTGCTGTTAGCTGCTCAGATATGACAGGACATCTAAGGAAGCACAGTGAAGCTTCAGACCAAAAATGAACAGCCTGTGAAGGAAAGTTACTTAGGATCAGAGACGCAGGAGGATGAGTCCTTAGAACTGGTTTCCCCCACTGCATTTGCTGAGACTTTCCAGTTGTCCCCCACGCATTGCAGCCATGTCCCATACATTCCAGTCAGACAACGGCTGGACTATGCTAATGCTGCAACTGAGATGAAGCCTTACACAACTTTAATACCAACACCCCCCTTGGCCTGACCCCATAAAATGAGGCTTAATTAACTTAAATAAACAACTTAAATTAACTTAATTAAATTCTGCAACTATAGTCAAGACCAGCTTCACAAATTCACAATATTGTTTTTTTCCCCTCAGGAAAGACATCACAAGCTTTACAGTGAAACTGGGTTAGGATTTTATTTATCTTTTCAATAATCTATTGCTTTTTTTTTAATATTTCTGGCTTTCTCCCTTATTTAAAGGAAACTGTTGCTATAGATAATCTATACATATTCAAAGAAGTAACTAACAGCTTTTATGAAAATGCCTTGTTACAGATTGAAAAGCAGTGCAAGTCATTAGAATAAAGTCAAAATTTTCAGTGAGGAAGTGAGATAAATGGACATTTCCCTGTGGAAAGGGATCTTTTTCCTGTCAGAAAATGCTAATTCATCTAATTTGAAATGTTCCACAGAAAGATGACAACACAGTTGATCACAAATTCTTGTGAAACAAACCAGCAAACAAACAAACAAAAACCGTGATAAAAAAAACCATTTCAACTTGAAAGGTTCAATTTCGATCATCTTTAATGTCACACTTCAAACGACTTTCTCTTAATTATGCTAATGTCAAATTTAATTGTATAATAAAAAACGAAATGTAGAAAGGAATAATTTTCTTTCACCTAAGTCCAACACTTGAATCAAAATGAAAGTAATTTGTTTTCCTAACTTAATTCAGAATTACTCGGCATTTCTGTTTCATTGCATTCTGCAACAGAAGAATGTTTACATCACGAAAGTCCCACTCTCAAGTGAAAATATTCATCTGCTACATAGCTCCTGGAAGCAAGGATAACACCTAAAAGATTTCTTGTGAAAGCATGAGATCGTTGCCTTGCCTCTAGATGCACCCAACTGGCATTTGATTGGTTTGTGATGTTGGAATAAAAGATAGGGGAAATGAAGGTTTGATGATGGAATAACATGGAGTATAGAAACACAGGCTTTATTACTATTTTTGTTATTTTACTGAACAATGTTACTCATAAATGTTCAAAATAGATGTATGCATAAATCTAGAAAAAATAACAATGAGGACATTCTCACCTTTTCTCTTTCAAAACTGTTACCATCCTTACTTTGTCATTCAGATATGCAGGTTGCCTATTTGCAAGAGCAGCTGGGTGGGCAGAGGGCCAGTGAGGTGGGCACCCACACCAGAGTCCTCCGGTCTCCCTGGATGGCTTTTTACCTTCTAGCTGGAAAATCAGCCCTACATAATATAAGGGTTTTGCAGAAATGATGGCTCTTGGTTTGGTACCATGTTGACTCCTCATTTAACTGGGTTTCTGCTTGGATGTGAGCTCCAAAAACTCCTATTCTGCATTCCTTCTCACTAGCCCCCTCAGAAGAAGATCCATGCTGCAGTTTTGGTGGGATTGTAAAAGTGGTATTGAAGGGGGAGGAGGGAAATGAAAGATAAAGCATTTAAGATGCACACAGATTTCAAGCTGATGTCCTGCCTGGCTGCTGTGAGGAGAAAGGAACATTAATGCTGGCCCACACCTACAGGCTCTCCTGCAGTTGCAACTGGACAAAGATGCCAAGAAGGAGAAGTGCCTCCTTCAGCCAGGAGAAAGCAATGAGTAGCTAGGTGCTGCAACAGGTAAGGAAGCAAATCAGATGTTTTTACACTGAAGTTTTCCTGCTGAACCTCTTCTCCAGGCACCAGTGCCTCACACATGGCTGCCACTCGTCCCCCATGCTGGTGGCAGTGAGCTGCCCTTCATGCCTTGGAGCTCACAGGGCTCTATTAGGCACTCACATGCCTCCCTCAAAATTGGCACCATCTGCACTACCACCTGAATGTCATTTTTCCCTGCACAGCTTCTCACATGATTTGCCAGCTTGTGTTTGTGATTTGGAGGGGGAGAGTGTGAAAGGTGCTGAGATCTGGCACAGTTTTTTTGCATAAGCAGTGCTGCTGATGGAACTTTTCTTTAGGATTTACTTGATCTCTGCACCTCTTTGGAAAGCTGTACTACTTATTTAGAGGTGCTCCCTTAATCTGTGTCCCTCAGCCTAAAACAAGGAGCAAGTGGAGTGCTGTGATCCCTCTAAAAGAATAAACACATTGATCAGCCTAAGGACAACCTCAGCGGTAATAAGCAGCTTTTAATTTGCAGTGCTTTTACAGGGGAGGGAAAGCATGATGGGACAGGGCTTGGAGAGGCCAGCATGTGGTGGGTGGGTGGCTGGTGCTACAGGCACCCACTCAGCATCCTATGGATCAGCTCTCACTAACAACCTGCTCCAGGATGCTCAGGTGACACAGATATTGCTCCATCATCTACAGTGCAGTTGCAGTTCTGTTTATACAAAACTGGGTCTCTGTAACTACCTGAAAGGAGGATGGAAAGAGGAGGTGGCTGCTCTCTTTTCCCTGGTAACAAGTGGTAGGACAAGAGAAAAACGCCTCAAGCTGTGCCGGGGAGGTTTAGATTGGATAATAGGAAATATTTCTTACCCTGAAAGTGTGGTCAGGCATTGGAACAGGCTGCCCAGGAAAGTGGTGTAATCACCATCCCTGGAAGTGTTCACACACTATGTAGGCAAAGCCCTTAGCAACATGGTTTAGTGGCGGTCTTGGCAGTCTTGGGATAAAGGTTGGGACTGTGGCAAGTCGTTCAACGCTCTGGGGTAAAGAGAACTTCAGAAAGATGCGTTGCCTCCACTGGTAAGGAAATTCTTTACCATACATCATTCACCATTAACTTCATCACATTATCTGCTGCCTAGCTTCATTTTTTCTATGTGAGGGTATCACACTGCTGCCTCCCCACCTGCCCAGGTCCATCCCGAGAGAGGGGTCTGCTTATGTACTTCTTGATTTTGGGGAACTGGTCACTGTAGGTCTGCTGGCTCTGCTCCTCATTTTCCAGCCAGTGAGGCTGTATCATCAGATGTACTATCTGTATCCTCCTTATTTACAAACAAGCCAAATCCACCATGTGAAAGCGTGTAGCCCAGTGGCCTTTTGGTGGAGACTCTGTGAAAGCTCTCCTAGTTTGCAGACAGCATACATACTTTAGAGACCAAGACAAAGAATATACCCATTCCTAATTACAGGGAGGAGAAAAGGATACGCTGGGCCGCTCACAGCTGACCATAGATAAGTGGGGTAGGGCTGTAGGTCTGTACTAACCAAAGGATTTTCCATGGCCTTCTGGGAACCAAGCAGGTCTAGGTCAGCCAGTAGAGGGTCTGCCAGGGAAGGGCCATGGGTCTCAGCCTTTTATTTGAGACTTAAGTTCATTGCAGTGTCAAAAGCTCAGCTGCTGCTTCAAGACAACTCTTATTAAAACTGTATCTTACGTCCCTTTAGTGAATGGTGTGACAAATGGGAACAGGAACTGATCGCATACCAGAAGTCAGTTAGTTCTGGCTGCATCTCCAGAAAAAAACATGAGCAGTACCTGCACGTAGCTTCAGAATAGCTCTTAGCCTAACACACAAATGGATAGAGACATACGCACTCACAGAATTAACTCCAAAGAAACTTAAGGAAAAACATGCTTTTGATCAAGATGCTGGGAGAAGAGATCCTTTTACTTCCTAAGTGCTTGTCCTAAGTTTGAGTAGAGGATGGATGTGTGGATGGATGGATGGAGGGAGGGAAACAAAAGAAATGACTGAACTTTCTGTCATGTTACTTGTTTTTAACAGAAGGAATGGGTTGTTCAGGGTTTTTTTTTAGGTAATCAACCACATCTTCCATGAAGTCCAGGGGGGCAACAATTGCTCTTTTTCTCCTAAAAATTGAGTCTTGAAGTGGTACCAACTCTCAGAGAAATAAAGTGCTACCCAGTGGCAAGAAAATGCAGTTTGATTTATTGTATACCTTTAAAGTGACTGGTAGGCCTTTTCTATGTACATTAAAACCAGCAGCCTTTTAATTATGGATTGGTTATTTCTAGTAGCCTTAAGATACAATTATTATCTGTCCAAATGAAAAAACAGCTGGGTGGCAAGGCTGGAGTACAGGCTGCCTGGTTTTGCCTGAACAAGGAGATTTTAACAACTTTCATGGAAGTTTTAGCTGCATATATACTGCAGGCATCTACCCTGCAGCTGGATACAACCCTGCACATCATCTGTGTCCAGAGCACAGAGAATAACACTGACCACAATTTTTCAGCAAATAAACAAACAATGATTTAGGTTTGACTGTGTTCACACCCCTTTTCTTTCCAGGAATGTTCTGGGTTAGAACTTGACTTAGAGGAATCATTATGGAAACAGTCAAATTAAAACTAGTAGCAGAGAGAGGTTGAGCAAACCCCACTGTAACAGTTGGTGGTAGAGACAATACCAGGTAACCTGCATGTCTGAGCACAACTAAACAAAGCTCCCTGAATTTCAGCTATCCAATGCCAGTACAAACTGCTTTGTAAATAAGCTTCAGATCAAGAATTTCTCCAGGAATAACTCTCTGGCAAGTAAATATTTAGCAACTATATTCAAATAGTGAATAAATCTTGGAGACACTGCAATGTACTTGCAGGCAATTTGTTAACACAAAAAGAGATGGAATTCATCAAAGACATCTTTTGCCCAGGAATGACAGGCTCATAGGCTAATAGAAATTAGTTTTCCGTCTCTAATATTGGGCACTACTTCTGCCTGGTATCACAGAACTTGATACTTCTTTGACGTGATGTTGAAAACAGCCAGTTGCAATTTGTATTTGCTTTTAAATTTACAGTTTAGCCGAGGGGTAGAGAAATGCTTCCTGTTGGGAGCAAATTCACCCCTCCGGTGGGCCCACACAGAGTCTGCACCGTGCTTTGAAGTGCCCTGTAAAACCGTGTAAGCAGTATATGGCCACCCCTGGCCCTGGAGGGAGGTGTGTCACCTGGTTATGTGACCTCCCAGGATGTGGCTGGGGCAGGCACAGGTTGCCTTCAGCATGTTTGAGGTTAACACCTTGTGTTCTGCCTGCATTTTCAAGTCTCCCATCATCACTGCTGTGTAGTGGTAATGAGCCCAGTATATGATGGTACCCCACGCCATGATACTCATAAATTGCATCCCTGATATAAGTGCTATCTGAAATAAATGATCGTGTATTCCAGACCATTATCCAAGCATGCCAGAGAGGCAGGATTTGATGGCCAAGATTATGCACGCAGGAGCTCATCAACCTCAGGGGAGATGAGAAAGCTAGGAAGATCAAAGGACTGTCTGAGTCACCAGCTCATCCACTTGGTTCTTGCCCCCAAGGATGAGGATGGAGAGAGGGTGAAGGGGACTTGCTGGGAACTCCTTCTCAACCTCCTCTCCTGCAGGGGTCTTTCATCAGCCTAAATGGATCACCTACCTCTGCCCTGCTGAGATGAAGCCCACTGAACCAGGTCAAGCTCTGCTCCCCACTGCAGCAGGTGCTCCTGTGGTGTTTCAGGGGAACAGTAAAACTGGATCATTTCAAGTACACTCCCACACAAATGCTCAGCTAGGCTGAGTCACCAGGAGCAGGCTGGTAATCTCAGCAGGGTCTCATGCCTGGCTGCAGTGCCAGTACAGCCCTGAGGGGAGCACACATTATCTCCAGAGAAGAGCTCCTGGAGGGTATACTGTAGGAAAAAAACACTTTTGACTCATTTTATGAGGAACTTGTGCATAGAAAGCCCTACTTGACTTTGGAAATACCTGATTGCATGTGTAATGTTGGTACAGTGTTGCATAAAGCTTTCTCTAACATGATTGCAGGATGGTTGTATTACATGCAAACAAAACCACTCTGTGGATATTATACGATATGGATATTATATATTTTCTGTGGAAAAACAATTCCAGGACTGATCTAGGTGGCTTTAACACATTTTTTGGAACTGTTTTCAAAAAGACCCTCACTTGTTGCAGCCAGCTGTGTTAGTTTCTGTGAGGACAAACATACAGGGTTTTGAGAATATCATGCATATCGATAATTGAATTATTTTCTGATCCTACAGACATTGCAGTTTTAAAGCCCTTGAGGATCTGCTCTTCCTGGGCTGGACACAACTGCTGATTCCTCTTGCAGTGCTGGGCACAACCCCTTTCTGATGGAAGTCAGCTCCCCTTTTCAGCTGCAGTGACAGAATTGAAAATGTGCCCAACAGGAAAGCTGGAGCGGGTTTGGTATTGACTCTGTCTCCCCTTGGCACTCTTGCTAGGGTAAATTTGCAACTGAAATTCCAGATTTGGCAAGAAAAAGAAGAACCATTTTCCTGGCAGCCCTCCCTAGGTACTCAGGAGAGTAGATGGGGGGTGGTAGCCACAGAACAGATGGCAGCGTGGGTTGAAGGTAGGTAAAGTGGTCAAAGATGTGCAATAAATAGATTTAACAAATATGTTACACCACAACATGTGTGACACATGCATGTAGTTTGCCACGAAGAGCAGGATGCCAGGGTGATACCTCACTTACGCAAATGACTGGGTATTTGTGCTGTATGGATGAGCACAGCCCTTCTGTCTTCACATTATTATGTTTTTCAAGAGCGATATTTTAAAGAAAGAGAAAGGCAGCAAAGTTGATAGCAACCTTTGAGAAACCAGCTTATGCAAAGAGCCTCAGCCAATGTAGTCTGAGATGGGGATAAGGCTGAAAAGAGAGATGAATGTCCATAAATATCGAAACTGTGTCATGATGTAGAGTGGGTGTTGATGCAAAGTGCAACAGAATCAAGACAATACATAAAAAATACATGAAGGGAAATACTTCGGTAAAAAAATCCATAGTGCTGAACACCTCTGCTATCTCTGGCCTACAGATGGCTCTCACTGTTTTTAAACTCACTCAGAGATGGCTTTTTAGGTTATAGATCAGAAGTTTGGGGTTTTTTTTCCTTCCAGTAAGAAGGCTTCAAGTAGTGAAAAATGTGTTCCTGAGGGCATCTGCTGAGGTCCCATCCCTGGAGATTTCAGAGGCATGCTAGATAAAGTAGCCTTGGTGAATATTCAGTAGGGAAAATCCTGCTGATTACAGGGAGCAACGGAAGATGAGCTGCCAGGTCTTTTGTTATCTATGACTCCCTGACTATTGGTGGTGAAGAGAGTTCTTGCACAAAAGCTTTATTTATATCAAGGCTGCTACCAGAAAGGGGGAATCCATCATGTCAGAGATAAATGCAAACATGGAGCTTCCGCTCTTGCCCTCCCTCTCATTTTGGGCTGTCCTTTTGTCTGACACAGAGACTGTCATGCTCTCTGTATAGTTTGCAACTTGATTTGCTTAAGACTCCCCAGAAACAAAGAGGTGCTGAAGGCTGGATAACCTTAATATAATATAGCAACTAGACTGTTTTTTGGGAACTGCTGGCTTGGTTAGAAGAGAAAGCCAGGGAAGGAAGCCCATGAGAGTGGGCTCCAGCAATGCCCTGATGGCAAGGCAGGGAGCCAAGAGAAGGACGCTGATCCAGGTCCCTTCACTTGCAGCCAGGGCACATCATTCCTGTGACCCATTAAAGCTCTCAAAGACCTGGCAGATGATTCAAAAGGTCATACTCAAACCACTGTTACAGTGGTAGAAAATTGCTGCCATATTCATCAGGTCATTAATAACCAAAGTGAGAAAGAAAAAGCCCACACAACCAATTTCATTTCCTTTTTGGTGCCAGTAGCTCTAACACTGCCTCTTGCTGTTGCTTCCCCATTTCAGAAGCCTGTGGCTTGCTGCTTTCCATAAGGCTCTGACAACTCTCAAAGTATGGCAGAAGGCAGCTAAGCTCTGCCTGGCTTTGGCTGTGAGGGCTGTTTTGCAGAGGGGAAGGCAGCGTGCAGCAGAGAAGTCTGGCATCATGGTAGGGCACCTCAGTGTCCAGAGGCAGGTCACCACAGGAGCATTTTGGGTAGGGTAGCTACCTAATCAAAATGCATGACATGCAGAAGCTCAGGAGTTTGGCTACAGGATAGGGCTTGCAGTTTGCAGGTGGCCCACAGCAGATGATCCATCACACTAAGCACATAAAGATGTTATTTTTTTCCCATGTATTGGATGTGTGTGTGTACGAGCAGGGCTGGCTGAGGGTCCTGGCAAGGCAAGCCTTTTCTAGACTGTGGAAAGCTCTACTTATCTTGAATTGGCCAGACTTAGCCCAAAATCTGTCTGTCCCCCCGTATGGAAGATCTAACATACGGTATCAGCCATCAACTGAGGGAAGGATTGAATCCCTCCCTACTGCTGTCTGTATAAACAAATATGCAGCTGCACTGACATACACATATATAGAAAATGGTGTCAGAGATTCCAGCTGTCCCAGGGGTGACAGAATGGCCAAGCAGCCCTGAACAAAGTGTACAGGCAAATGCTGCAGGCTTGTTTTTGCCAGGGTGCTGCCACTGCCTGCGCTTGGGATGTGCCAGTCCTGCTCGCAAGCCAAATTACACTGTGAGGCTGAGATTCAAACATGAGTCCAAACCCATGTACACATCCCCCTCTCTCTGGCTTTGTAATTGAAGAACAGATACAGAGCTCAGTAGCCTTGCACGTGGCAGCCCTAAAGGAGCATTTCTTTCAGCAAAGAGACTGATTCTTGAGACAGCGTAAGCAGGGAAATGTCAGTTTGACAACCCCTTCAATGAGCTGCATAGACCAGCCTCTCTCAGATGGGGTCAAAGGAAATGAGAGTGAAAAGTGATGAGGGGGAAAGGCAGCTGAGAACTGCAGGTGCTGAAGCAATGGGCTGCAGGGAAGATCCAGTGTAATGGCGATGTGGTGTGCTGGCAGCATGACACGCAGAGAAGCGTCGATGCTCTGATGAGCAGAGCTGCAGGATGGCTTGAAGGTAAATAAACGAAGCAATTAAGCCTGTCCTGCAGGACAAAGGACTGCACCTGGCAACTCTCAGCCTTATTCCAAAGATATTAAAGATGGACTCTGGTGTGTGCTAAGCAGGGGGTCTAGTTGATGAAGGTATCAGTTTTCCTGGTCTGCATTGGTCCTTTGCTTCAAACCCAGCAAAGGTTACAAGCCCTGCAGAGACAAATGGCACACAGAAAACAGAGATGCTCTGAAGAATTAGAGCATGCATCTCCCTTCTAGCCCAGTGGGCTCCAGCTGCTAGGGCTGGGCACAGTGCGGGGTAGGGGGGGGAGAGGGCTGGGTCACAAGCAGGTCTAGGGAGTGGTACAGTTGTGTCTCATAGCTCTGCAGCTTTGCCTGCACAGGCGTGCATGGGCTGATCTTGGCAGAGGAGAGCTTGGGCTGCAGACGCCTCTCAGCCCTGGGACCTTCCAAACCTAGGATCTGCAGGTCTTGCTTTCCAGCAAGGCAGCTCACCCAGCTCACTGACAGGCCCCTTCCCAGCTTGCTCGGGGTGAGCAGAGCCTTTCCCAGGGTGATGGTGCTGGAAGGAGGGATGAGGGTCACAGAGAAGAGCGCAGCCGCCAGCAGCAGCACGGCTGTGGGCTGAGGGGAGCCAGTCGGCTGCACCACACACACCCCTCCCCGGCATCTGACAGCACTTCCAAGCTGAGAGCGAAGCCTTTGTCTTCCGTGCCTGCCAAAGCAGGGAGCGCCTTAGGCAGGGTTGACCCAGCTCCCTCCCTGCAGCCCTGCGGCGGGTGCAGCTGCGCCCGGTCCTGCCTAGAGCCCAGAGCACTGGCCGCTGTGCCCAGAGCGACTGACACGTTGCTGCTGTACTGGGAGAGCACTTGGCAGCGAGTTCACGTGAGGGGATGCTGCTTCCCATCTCCCCTGCCCGGCTGCTTTACCAGAGTGCTGGTAAATGATGCTTCATGTCCCCTGCAGCGGGGATACAGAGATCCTATCTACCCTCGGGGAGATCACCTCCACCCACCTTGGTGCTCCTCATGCAATGGCCACCACAGTTCCCTGACCCCCGAAACAGACTCTCCTTCACCCGTCCCCAGGGCTTGCCCTCTGCCAGCACGGTGACATGGCCCTGGAGAGAAATGGGAGTTGCTGTGCCCAGGGCCACAGTGTGCTGACGTGGCCTGGATGCCTTCAATCACACCATGGGGGTAGGAGGCCCTTCAGGTATTTTTATTGCAGAGGAAAATCCCACAGTGCCTCATTTTTCTGTGTTTGGCCCCAGATGGCCTCTGAAGCACAGAGTGTGGCGTTTTGGAATCCCAGATGCTTTTAGGGGAAATTATGTGTTATATAAAGCATCGTTTGAATTTTTTATCTGATGTGCCTTAATCCATGTGGCATCAGGCTCACGCTGAATTGTGACGAGAATCAGACACCACGGTGCTGGGCTATGAAGTTATGCAGCATGTGGGAGCAACCTGCATGTGGTTGGACATAAGGTATCTTGAGAAGGATTCAAAAGGTCACTCCTAAAATCCCAGTCCAGATGAGGATTTCCTAGTCCACCCACAGAATGTGCTGCTCAGGTTGGCTGTCACCTATTATCTATGGGAGGATGTCATGAAAGATGAGACAGAGAAGCTCTGTTAGTATGTCTGCTGACAGATAACAATATTCAGGTATCAATGCCATATCTTCCAGGTAACATCATCTTGTCCCAGGTGATAAGGACAAGAGGTAACAGTCACAAGCTGTGCCAGGTGAGGTTTAGATTGGATATTAGGAACAATTTCTTCACAAAAAGGGTGATCTGGCATTGGAATAGGCTGCCCGGGGAAGTGGTGAAATCACCATCCCTGGAAGTGTTCAAACACCGTGCAGACAATGCCTTTAGTGACATGGTTTAGTGATGGTGTTGGCAGTCCTGGGGTAATGCTTGGTCTTTTCCAAGGTAGCTCATTCTGTTGTTGTATGGTTGCCCACAGAAAGTTGTCCTCTGCTACACGAGATGTTTCAGGCTGTTTTCTGGATCCCCAGACAGGAATGTTCTGGTCATTGCTGCCAATACTGTGTGAATGACCTGTGCACTTTTGACCATCTCAAACAGCATTAGACTCGCTCACATGCAACTCATTTGAGCCCCAAGCCTGCAAATTGCTCCCTAAATTCTGCCCACTATCATCCACCCTCTGTGAGGAATCTGCAGTTCCCTATTGCAAATTCGAGAGGGCAACCACACTTGTGGTGAAAGCCATCAATTCACAGTAAAAGGCTTCAAGTAACAGCATTGCTGTGTAAAGACAGCCTTTGAGAAGCATGTTTCCAAATGCTTAGCAGCAGGATTAGAAGGTTGCTGGCTCTTAACTGTGAGCTTTGCAGATGCTAGGGGCTGGCAAAGCAAAATCTGTATCACATGAAAAAGTTGATCAGGTCTGACTCTCTCCTGCCCTGAGATTACTTTTCTCACTACAAAGCATTTCTCCTCACCAGTAAGTTCAAAGTACATATGGGCATGAAGATAGCGTATTGTTCACCAGCTCACTGTTCTGCTGAGCAGCCGCCTCGCTCGTTCTCTGTCTCAGGTTATAAACACTGCTGAGAAGCTGAAAAATTGCTCACAGCTTAAATGACAAAATCATGATAACCTACCCTGTCTTACCCTACTGTGAGCTCTACTTTAATAATCCTGCTTAATCATTAAATCACCATAAAAGCAAGCCAAGAAGTAGAAGGTGAAAGTCAAGCCAAGGCGTATCAGGGCACTGCTCAAAACTTGAACTGAGCACAGTTAGCTAGAGACAGAGAAAGCCACATAAAGGGGTAGCAAAGCTGTTGTGTGAAGGGTCAGAAAGATGCGGCAGAAAATTCCTATCTGTTGGGACTGGTTGGAGGAGCCAGAGCCAGCTGTGAGCTGCTCCTGCTAGTCAGGA